TATGTATATGTATATATAATGTACTGTATATTTGTGTGCATACATGTATATATAATAATATGTATTTATTATGTATGTAGAAAGTGGGCCACATCCTCATTGTGCATTTATCATAGCAGTGTCCATGTTGTTGTTTAGTGATGTAACAGTATTATACCAATGACTCTCCAGTTGATGCTTAAGTAGTTCTTTAAGTACTCAATATTTATAGGCTGTTTAGAATAAATATTTAAGGCAGGGATATTGCATGAAACAGACTAAGATGTGTTTTTCATCATTTATTTATTATTATTATTATTATTATTATTATTATTATTATTATTATTATTATAGCATGAATTCGGTACTTACTTGTTCGTTGCTTATAGAGACCTATATTTGGAATCATTTGTTTTGAATGCTAGAATTTGCATGACACCTTTGTATAGCATCTGTTATATAGCAAGTCCTATAGGATTATACAGAGTCCTATCAGACCTTTAATTGTATTAAATTAATGTCGATCCGTAAAATAATGATCCCTCATTTATTTTTTTTTAGACAGTGTTGGATCTTAAGAGTATTATTTGATAGTAAGCAAATATGAGATTCCATCACAAGTATTACAGTTCAAGTTTGTAATGATATTTTCTATTTAACATAAATTATTCTTATTCTGCACTAGTATTCAACATAAATTGTTTTAATCGTCACATTTTGACGTTGATATTAAGAATTTTACAAAAGCATTTTCACTGCTCTTAATTTTTTTGTACAAATTGAATGGAATAATATAAAAATTCATTGGGGTCATTCTCTGTGGATGTAAAAGCTGTGTATTAATTAAAACATTGTGCAAAGTACTATTTTAACCCAGCCTTGTCAACAATTCTAACAATGTTTTTTTATGTACAAAATTGAACTGAAACAATAATTTTTTTCCCTTGGTTTTTTTTTCCTTTTTTGTAACATATTTTATTTAATGTTTTTCGTTTGAAAGGAAGACACCTCTGTAGTATCCATAGAGTTTTAAGAACATTAGAGTGCTAAATTAATATCATTAAATCGTTGAATATAAAATCTTTTTAGAAAAAAGTATATTCACTGTTGAAATGGATATTTGAAATGTGCCACTGTCTGGATCCAACTCAAGCAAAGGTCTTATAACTTAAGGTAGAAAAATCGTCACAATTAAGATGATCAATTTAAAAGTTTTGAAAAGTTTATGTTTTAAATATTCAAGATTTTTAAAAGCTGTTTATAAATCAAAGGGTTCACAATCTTTAGTAATAGAATCTTTGTTTTCAAGCCAGCCATGTTATGATGCGCTCTTGCATGAGTGTCCAGCCATTTTGGTGGTGAAAAAAATGTATGGTCTTGCGTAAAGCCGGACGCATCCTGCCTCACCAGGTCGTCAGTCGATGCCCTTCCATCGAAACCGTAATGCAATTACATGTGTGTGTGTGACGTATCTTTTCTAACGATGGTCTGCTCGGGGTGCCGTCGTCATTTAGCAATTGTAATGCATTCACATAACAGAGATGGATTCGTTGGTTAGGCCGATTGACCATTGGCCAATGCAGGTGTTTCTGGCTTAATTAGCACTCTAATTTTCCTATACGTTTGGTACCGGTATAACTCTATGATAGAATTTTAAAAATGAATGTGCTATTTTTATCTCGTCGTTGAATCATACTATAGAATGTAGGAATTCTGTGCCATAGAACTTGGTGTTATGAATTTCTATCGTTTGTAGATGTAATTAAGTTCACATACATTGTATAGTTTGTTCTTGCTATTATCAGAGCATCCTTCGTTAGTGCTTTTTGTAGGTTTTAGTGGTCAACACTGGCAGGAATTTGCTCTGCCAAATTTCAATAAACGTGTTGCATCAAATTAAGAACTGGTTTCACATGTTGTTTGTAGGTTTTCTGTATATGATTGTTTGGGGTCTAGGGGTGGATGCAGTAATTGGTGGTAGAGGATGCGTGAGAATCCACATAATCTTAGCCCCATCACGGTTGGGGCTGAGGTACGAACATTTTGAGAATAAAGACCTCTAGGAGCTCGAAGATATTTTCTTAATATGATTTATAGGAGGGTGGGACGATTGCACTGTCTGCACCACACCACCACCCCCCCCCCCCGTATCCGCCCTAGGGGTCATGAAAGATTATATAGTGCCCTAGTATCAAAACTAGGCCTATATTGGTCGCCAAAATATTTTGTAAGGTTGCAGGACAATATGTAATATAAATATGATGGACAGTGTTTCATTATCTATTTGGTAGGGCCTCCTCTATGCATTTAGTGACTTTCTTTTTGTCTGGGTAATAAGGGACCTTTCTACTAAGCCCCGCCTCTTGGATATTGTTGCTAAGGTCACTCAAAACGGCAGCGTAAACGTAGTTAAGCACATGCTTGTGTGGGGCATCATGAATCGTGTCGGTTTTCCTGGTCATGGTCTGATTATTAGGTCAGTTGTTAGATTAACACTTCGCTTTTCCCCCGTGTTTTTTGAACGAAGAATCTATGGAACACATGCACTAATAAAAAAAACACTTGCGTTGGAACCTATCTTAGGACATTTGAACATAGATATACAACCGTAGGTAAAGTGTCTCGCTCAAGGACACAAGTGTGAAGCGGGGGATTCGAACTCGAATCGCAACCGATGCCCTAACCGCTTTCATAGAGTACTCAAATTCGTTCTGTAGGATGAATGCAGGTGGAGAGAAATTATTACATACCGTAATCGGCCGTCAACACCAAAATATACAATAATTGTTGGCCTTATGAAACATCCACAGTCCCAAGATTGATTGGAGTATTGACTTGTTAAAAAAATCGCATGATTTATTCAAACGGGGCGCTTATTCGCGCGACGATAAATGAGTTCTTCGTATATTCTACGTTGATACCGGAAAGGTCGCGTTTGGCTATACAGTACTTGTATAGTATAGGGTACAAAGGTAACACATGTTGTCATATCAAAATAAATGTGAGCAGAGAAAACCCCTACAAATCACGCACACTGTTGGTCTTCTGGTCTACATATTCGAGTAGTGCATCAATTACATAACACTACAATGTGTAGTACAACGTCGATTAGATTTTTGACTTATTACTGCAAGTTTTGTTGGTGCCATGTATTGAATGCATATGAGGTACTGACCTTAAATTTATAAATTTAAAGTACAGTACTGTTGTTACCAGAATTTGAAAGTTTGGTGAAAGACGTGGACACTGAAAATATTGATGCTCACCCACTAAGATCATCTGGACTTCGAGACATTTTAAGAGAAACACCTGAATCACCGAGATGGAAGATAGTGCATGGAAATTATAATATTTATACAGCGCGAATGGATTAGGTACTATAGGCCATATTTATCAAGCAAAATCGGTTCCGTCTTTCCCATATGCGCCCGTGTAAAGATAACAGTGTAGTGAATATATTTGAATAGGTCTGATGAACCAGTTAAAATAGACAAATACACCGCATGGACCCGGATCCTCATTATCCGCTACCTACCCAATAAATATATATTTTTAATGGCCATTGTAAACCATGCCCCAATTAACACACTTTTGTTAAACATACTTCAGAAACTTAAATAAATATTGCGGAACGTCATGCCTGAAAAAGCAGTATGCAACAATCAAGATTTCAGTTCGTTGTTATCTGTGTATTGAGAGTAACGGCGTGTTGAGGTCCTAATAGTCCAGTGTTGAACCTGTGTGTTTGTATATTAGAGGTAAATGTTGCAACAAGACATTTTATAGATATTTAAGACAATATAAGTAACTACTGTGTCACTAAGAATTAAAATTAGACAGAGCACCGATCATGTGTGTTTTGCTGTGGACACAGATTTTAAATTAAATTTTGACAAGTACGGTATTGTTACACTAAAAATGACCAGTTTAATATTTTCATCAATGCTTATGCCCTATAGGCCTGTGTTTTTTTATCAGGGAACACACACAGTCCTATATATGCATGACTGAAGACTTACCGGTACACTTTGTTTACATTTTCAACTAGGCCTTTATCGTGAATAAATTAATCGAGAGAACGCGCAAAATTATTCTTATAGTATTATATCAGCCTTATGTTTCTGTTATATATAGATATCAAAGAGGTTATGAAGTTATATCGTGGTAAAGTCTAAACCAACGAGGAATGGCTGGGCACCTGAATGCAACCAAGAACTTCATCATATCAGTGGATGACAGTAAGCGACGTAGCCTTGATGTCTTCAGTTTATTCGAGGACGCCAGGAAATCCTCATTATTGACTGATGTCGTAATTTGTGCCGGGTCGAAAGAGATCTCCTGTCATAAGATCATTCTGGCCATGAACAGTGGCTATTTCAGGGCGATGTTCACCTGCGATATGCTGGAGAATAAACTTCAAAAGTTATATCTAAAAGGACTTGAGCCAAGCGTTGTTGAAGCGCTTGTAGGGTATATATACTCTGGCAAAATCTACATCGCAAAAGAAAACATCTTTGATTTGTTAGAAGCAGCAGAGATGCTGAAGTTACAGTCGATCATTGACAGATGTTCGACAGAAATATCAAAAAGAATTTTAACACCAGACAACTGTATTCAGATATATTTTTATTCATGTTCGAAGGGGCCAATGAAAGAATTGTCAAAAAAGTCACTAAGAAAAATTTGCGATAACTTCAGTAACGTTGTTGAAACATCTGGTTTTCTTACTATGACAAAAGAAGATTTAATAACAGTATTATCCTCAAAAGACATGACTGTGAGTGAAGACGCTATGTTCTCTGCCATTGTGCGCTGGAAGAACTATTGTCCCGAAGAACGCGACACTAAAATTCCAGATATAGTGCGGTCTTTAAAACTTCCGATGATAAATAGGCGCCATATTGCCAGTGTTGCATCTGTTGCTTTCGAGAAAGTTGTAAATTGTAGGCGTATCTTAACTGGAGCCGTGGCACATCGGCGACCAGTTGAGGAGCCGCAGGCACGAAAACCACATCGGAAAGTTTCGACCACTCGAAAACCAGTACAGACTTCAAATGAGGTACTTCTTGTAGCGAAGATTTTTAGAGGACCAATGCAGACGGAAGAACTTACTAATGATTCGGAAGCTATTTTGTTTAACAGCGATGGGAGCCGAGAAAATCGTTGGGTAAAATTAGCGCCAAAAGAAGCTAATACATTGTATGATTGGCAGTCAGTTTCGTCAATTGGTACTCAGGCGATAATCGTAGCAAAAGATAACATTTTCTTTCTCGATCCGGTGACTGGGAAACATAAGGATATACCTTTTCCAGGAACGGCAAGGAAATCGTCAAACCCAGCCGATACCGACAGCCGTCTGATATATCGTGTGTCGTCTGTCGGACATCTTGTGTTTCTTATTGGAGTTACTTCAAAGAATGAGGCTCGCATGTGGCAGTTGGACAAAGTGCATAACAAATGGTCAGTTTGTCCGAGACCTCCAGCAAAGATAAGACACGACGAAATCGTAATTACAACATCAACTAACGATAAACTTTTTCTGATTAGCGTAGAAGAGAATCTTTGTTACACACCAAGTATCCGACGTTGGACGAGATGCGTACCTCTTCCAAAAAAGAAAGAGACGTGGCACATTTACGGTGCCGTGTGCTCAGGACGGACTCTCTTCCTGACAGCTAGCGATGGTGTTCATGTATACGATGTTCGATCACATTCCTGGTCGCAGGTATCTTCAAGCAGAGAGTTCGGAAACCTGGATTCATGGCGCCATGTTTGTCTACCGATTTTTATGAACAACAGTCTCCATGTCGTAGTTGCTAATCGACATTGGTTTGATTGCGTTCGCGTCTACATGGCAACAGAAACCAACGAGGGTGACAAAAACATGGAATGGACGGAAATCGCACGAAAAACTCTCAGTTACAAACATATGCTCTATGATCTATTTTGCGTTCCAATTCGAAACGATGGCTTGCAGTAGCCTAGTATTTGATTTAGTAGAAATGCCCATTCCACGTACACATCTCAAGGTCGGATGCAATATATTAAAAAAGAGGTCTGCTAATTTTCGGAACCAAAAATGGAATTTGGCAGTCACAACATTAATAGCGTGGATTCTTCTGTGGCTTTCGCCATCCACCGAAAGGTTTTTTTTTTAAATTATTATTTTTGATTCTACGTGGCCTATCATAATTAAAGCTTTGTCTCACTATCAAATTTCATCAAAAAAGCGTCACATAAAATGTGAGTTGAGCACGTTCAACTTTTTTGATACAATTTGATAATATAGGATATGACGTCATCGTACCCATATGGGCACATCACATTTTTCTTGTCACATAAAATTTGATAGTGTAGACAAAGCTTTATGTAGTTTTTTCCCACTAAAAACATTTGTTGTAGCATATTTTTATACCGGTATAAGATAACTTTATAAATGACTTTGAACATGAAAGTATACCTGAGAAAGAGCTTGCTGTCAATAAGTAGGACAGTGATTAGTCGTTATTGACAATCTTTGGCCCATGTACCTAACTAATGAATATTTATCTTAATATGAAATCTAAATGGGGCGAAGTATCTACAAGAAAGTAGTAGCAATGTTTTACAGCACTGGGGGTCTAAACAAATTTGTTTGCTGTATGCATGATACTGATGCGATGCTTAAAGTGAACAATTTAGCGAATCGAAAAAAGAAAATCGCATATTAACAATTGTTTATCTCCTCCCAAATATTTCCGACTCCAATCAGTCTACTGTTTTGATTCAATACAATCAAGTTTATACCGCACTCGAAAGGAACTGTAGTTATCCATTCACGAACGAAATCATAATCGACCTGGAAGTAAATCGAATTAAACCAATAGTTCGTTTCCAAAATGAATACATATACTTCTAAAGGACAATAATCGAAGAAAAACAATCTGCGAATAACAGCAACAACAGTTTTATCTTGAATAACATTGAGCTATTAATAATATTATTATTATTATTAAAACATAATAGATGACCAACGCTTTTTCCACAGATAATTGAAGCTTATATCTTACAAAGTTTGTGATCCTACAAAATCAAATAAGCGATTGGATATTTAATGATTTTTTTTTTTTTTGAGATATTGGTTGTGATGATGATGATCGCAGAATATCGGATTACCGGAAGAGTGTTGACCTCTTTAACATACGAAGTACAATTATGAAGCATTACCGGAAGTGTTGAGTTTGTATAAAGTATCTTTCCGGGAATTCTGTCTTGTTAAAATGCTGGGGTGTGCGGCATATTCGTAGTGCTTCGAACTAGCGCTGTTCCGCGCATGTACAAAAAATGTGAAATCCGTTTCTTCCTTTTGGATTCATATTCCCAACAAAGCCCCAGTGGCCTAGTTGATAAGGTGTCAACATAGTTTTCACTCTCATAATCATATTCCTCATTCAAGAAGATGAAAGAAAATAATCAATTTTTTATTGTGTTTACAGCCAGTAATGAGGAAATGTTCCCCAACCAGTGTAGAGCGAGATGTAACCAGGGACGACACCCCGTCACCTACTCAAAGTGAAGAGATTGAGGATGCGCAACAACGCAAACAATTGAACACTCTTGCTAAGCAACATGCGGCAAGAGCTCAGCGTAAGGAGAAGCTTGATACCGGTGCAGAGGATGAGGAGGTTGAGCCATGGTTCTCAAGGTTCATGCACCTGTCTCTTATACACATCTAGATGTGTATAAGAGACAGATTCAGAATAGATTCAGAAAGTGAGAGCACTAATTTCAATATATGCCTTGAAATTTTAACATTTAGTGGCAAAATGGGGGGGGGGGGAACACGTGCCCCATTCCCCCTACTGGATCTGCCCCTGCAGGGGGTCCAAAATCCAAGAGGAATTACCCAATGTCCTGGATAGGGGCCACACCCACGTCAGGCCCACCATCGTTAAAGCAAATTTTAAAAATAGATGCTGGGAAATGGCACTCGCAGACTATAAATGCTTTTTCGAAGCAGAGTTCCCAACGAAATAATTGCCTTCTCTGTAGATCAGGGTGCTCGCTTATTTCTGTTATAATAATAGTTGAATGTTATTAAAAGACGAAACTGTTATTGATTTTATTCAGATTATTATTGTTCATATGCTTCTTTTACAATTTCTCACAAATGAGCAAAACTTTAACGTTTTCATAAGTATTTTTACAAGATGATAGTATTTATTGATGTTATAGATAGTTGTAATAATAATATTAATATTATTAATAATAATAATAACCACAATAATACAGTATTATTGAAAATAGTATGGTTATCATCATTAGTATTGATATTATTCAGGTTATTATTTTCATTACAAAGTAATACAGTATAATGATAATAAAAAATAATAAATAGCCTTGTTAATAAATGAAGAAACTATTAATATTATTCACATATTTTTCTTTCCTTCAGAATGTTCCACAAAATGAATAATTCTCCAATAATAACCTTGATTTATTATAGTCCAAATAATTTTTTAAAAATGCAACAAAATGACTTGAAAGAATATCACTCAAAATACTAAATTTACAAGTTCTTTTCCATCATTTTTATTATTTTTTTCAAATATTTCCCAGCATTTTCTACTTTTTTTGTATTATATTTAAATTTCCTGTAAGCAAACAACTACTCACTAACAGATTTCACTACAATTGTAAAATTTCCATGCAATGAAATATACTCATTCAATTAAAAACTTAGGTCTATCCAAAAACAGATCTGTTAAGTGTGTGCATGGGGGATACGAGGGGAGGTAGTTGAGGAGGATACAAAATGGAGAATCATCGTTGAATGAGGTATGGTTAACTATTGAGGAATTAATCTTCCATAAAAATTTTACATTTCTCTCTAGCTTCTTCATATAGTGGTAATGTAGTGCACAGCCCCCCCCCCCATAAAACTATACAGTATAACCATGAGATTTTGTTGAAATGCTAACTAGAGAGCTAATAGAATTGTACAAGACAAAAAATCAAAATTGCGTTGAACCATCCAATGTGTGGTGGATTTGTCTTAGAGGTTAACTTACTCATTTGTAAGTTTGAAGCTACTGGCTACATCATTTCTGAGTATGGTAAACAGGATATTTAAATTTTTAACACACACAGATGGATGAATGAAGGGCTGAAAAAAAGCTTTTAAGTATGCCACCGATTATGTTATTGTAAACAAAACAACTCTTTTGTGGCCTGTATTCAACCTTAATGTAGTCACGGCCCTGAATTCCGATTTTAGCGTACAGATCGAAATAATCTTGAGCCCTTACAGCCAATAGAAGGGCAGATGAACTACTGTGTTAAAAATGCATGTAAACTACAATGAGAACATGTGGATTATGCATTGTTTATTAATACATTGACTAAAATTTTGAAAACATGAACAGAATTTAGATTTTTTAGAGGCCCGGTCATACCACCGGTCTGGGGTACTGGCCCTGATAAAAGAATTTTATGCATGGAAGTATTAACATGTGATCTGCTTTCACAAAATGAGTCTTATTGCACAAGAAACTAAAATATGGTAATTCCACTATCATAATAAATATTCTGCAATTTAACCCTTTCCAGTCGTATGGCATTGCGACGAAGCCCTATTCGACCACACTTTATAGCGAGGGGCGTCGTACGTACACCCTGTATAGCTTTCATGATAATTATTTTATAGCTAGGCTGCCCTCTATAAGATTTTTTAAGTGTGATGTTGGAGTATTTCTGTAGAGGGCCTCCTGTATTTAGACCAAATAAAACGCCTGCGCCCAGTAAAAACCCGACATTTAGTGTAGATGATGTAATTTCCCAGCTTTGGTACAGCCCCAGTCAATGGTAATGGGGCAGACTGGAAAGGGTTAAACATTTATTTATAAGTGGGGATATATCCTAGAACACAAGCATTAAATATTAAAATTGAATAAGGAGAAAAATGATGATGGATGGGTGTAATATTAAAAATTCTAAATAATTATTTGACATCAAAATATCATCTATAATGATATACTGAACTATGTACAGTACTAAATAATGATGACAACAATATCTATAATTAAAAAAAAACATTGTGTTCCAAATTCTGAATATTACATTACTGTTTGTTAATTCAACATAAGGCAATATAACTCATTTTGCAACAGCAGATTACAGACCTGATAGCGCCAAGCTTTGATATAAAGGATTGATAACAATATGGTTTAGTAGTGATTATTACCAAAAATGTAATACATTATCTTAATTAGGATGATGTTACTTCAGAGATCCCCAGCACAAAACTATCAATTCATTTCTTAAGTCCTGTCCAGACTATCAAATTTTTATTTGAAAAAAACATGTGACATGCCTAAATATGGTCATGATGACATCACATCCTGACCATATATAGACACATCATGACTATATATAATATAGGCATACAACAGTTTTTTGTTTAAAAAAAAAATTGATAACCTTGACAGAGCTTTTAAACAAATTTAAATTTTTATTATTATTATTATTATCAATTACTAAAAATTAAAACATATTGTTAATAACAAGCAGAAATACTGTACGAATGCATCAGTAACATAACTAATCTATGGTATATATTACAGTGTGCTATACATATATCTTTTATAGTAGGTTTCCAATGCACTTGTTTCTAGGTTATCAGTCATAAATACAAATACAATGTACAAGTTTTGTAGACAGTAAGCTTTCTGGTTTGAAGGGAATTTCATATTTTTTTTAGATAAAAAAAAATTACATCATTTAAAGTTTTAAAAAAAAAAGACAATAATAAATACACTTTGATTTTAACAGTCATCGGTTTTTATTGAGATACACTTTAAAACCACCATAATATCGCCATGTATATCTCTTTACTAATTATTAATCAAATTCTATATTATCATTGTAATATTATAATCTAATATTTCTACTTTTTACATGCAGCATCCATGCAGCACATCAAAGTAACTGAATCCATGTAATTATGTGACAAGTAGAGAAAAGAGTTAATGACAAAACAAAATCTTTAACACTGCACTACACAAAATAACAATACTGTACTAAAAGAAATCACATTCTGTAAGATATGGAACGCTCTACTTTGCCACTATATGGTTCTTTTTGCACGACATATTGCAACACTTGCATGAAAAGTAGGCCAAGAAATTATCATACCATATAGTCAAGAGAATGGCAGCAGTTTTGGCATCTATTTGGGTGTCAAGAGTGGTAATGACACATCCTAAATGCCCTGCTTTTTTTTTACAAACTTACATTATGTCATATATAAGCTTGAATAGCATTCTACTTATCACAAAATTATGCCTAACATTTCTTTAATGGCCAATCAAATAGTTTAATTTAATATAGCATTTCAACTAATAGTTAATAGGGAGATGCACTGTTCAATTCAATTTCAATAATATCAGTGAACCGTAATCATTTTGTTTATTTATACTCTTTGGCGCCAATGCAGATGCTAATTTAAATACAAAACGAATGAGAGACTATAAATTATTAAATAAATAACCACCATCACTTCAACTGTGAATATGAAAAAAATAATTCTACAATAAACACCAAAATGGTAATGATATCAATGTGGTGATGTAAAATGATAAATTCATAGGCCTGATTTAATTTGGATGTTTAAACCAATCGTGTACAAGACGATGATAGTATGTACAAATCCAGGGCATATCTATCCATAAATGTCAAAAAAATAACATCAAATCAATTGCAATTAAAGAGACTGCAGTCTTAATGTTACTTCAATATATAGATCTCACCACACTATCAACTTTTAGATGGAAATATAAGTGAACTGTCTATATATGGGCATGATAATATCACATCACACCCATATATGGGTAAATTAAGTATTTGTCACTTAGAAATTAAAATTGCAATAAAACAATGTGTTTCAGATGAAAAGTGGTCCTGCATAAGATATTGCCAAATTCACAACCAGAAGACACTTCAAATTTTAGGACTTTTGAGTGTCATCCTTTGTATAATTCAGATCAAAAAAAAAATCCAAATTTAAATTTAAGCACAGAAGACACCAATATACTGATGTATGTGCTTTAATTAAATTAATAAACAAATTTAATACAAATACCACATTGGTGCAGCATATTGGGAGGTTATGCAGAAGAGTTAAATTATTGATTATTATTAATATGTTAATAAAATTATTTCAAATCAGCATTTAGTAATAGTTGTATTTTCTTTAGTTAAGTTCTTTCATTTGTTTAGCTTTAAGTTGTTGTTTTACTCTTTGTTCATAAGTTCTTTCATTTGTTTAGCTTTAAGTTGTTGTTTTTACTATTTGTTCATTAGTTTAAGTTTGACTGCGCCACTTTCTTGTGTGCTGCCACTGATGTAAAAGTGTAATGTCAATAAATATTATTATTATTATTATACTGGTGGCCTAATCCATTAAAAAAAAAAAAATTGATATCTTTGTTTTATACACAATTTTAAAAAATTTTTTGAA